TTTTTTTTTTGGCTTATTTTTTGCTTTCAAACGCATTCTGGCCATTCTACGGTAGCATTATTATTATTATTGTCCCTATTATTATTTGCTTATTATTATTATTATTATTATTATTATTATTATTATTATTATTATCAATGTTACGACACCAGTTATTTTTAACTAAAAGAAATTCATCGAAGCAAAGTGGCATGAAAATGTACATAGGCATAGACAAACATAACACTGACTGACAAACAAACAGACTTACAGATGAAGAGACAGAGAGACAGATAGGGAGATAGACATACAAACAATCTATCTGATGGAGAGACAGAGAGTCGGACAACTACAACAGACGCACAGACTGACTTACAGAGACAGACAGACAGACAGACAGACAGACACACAGACAGACAGACAGACAGACACACAGACAGACAGACAGACATCTTATGGATAGACATAAGACCGATTTACAGACAGAGGGAAGGAAAAAGACAGAGAGAGACAATCAGACAGATAGATAAAGAGACAAACAAACAGACAGGCATGCCGTAAAGTAACTCGGGGAATGTCAGAAGCATCCTGGCATCGCTAGTCTAGTGGTCAGGCTGCCGGACTCGTCATCGTGAGATTGCAGGGTCGGGGATTCGAACGTCAACTCGGTCCGACGCTGTGTTATTGGGAAAAGTACTTTACACGAATTTCCCACTTGGCTCAGTCGTCCTTTTGGACATTTAACTCGGAGGTCCCGCCTCTTAAATAACCTTACAGTACCTTTTAAACACCATTTCCGCAGGAGCCTACCGTAAATGTTGCGTTTTCTCCAACAGTGTAGGGCAGGTCACGACTCGCTGATTCAATTTTCATTTTCGGAGCTTCAATTCTGGAAGTTTGATTTCCTTGACCGTTATTTAACAACGTCACGACCAACCTGCAAGAAAGAAGAACATTAAAGTGAAGCGTGCAGACAAAATAAATTACGCATCGGATCGAGTCCTATCGAAATAGATATATGTGAGGCAGCGTGGTGGAATCAGGCTCTCGTCAAAATAATCAAAGTGAAGAAACTTGCATTTTTCCTCAGGTTT